CTAAATGACAGCCCTCGCTTGCCAGTGCTCCACTTTTAAGTCCCCCTGAGGGACAGCGGTAAGTCTACGGATTTACAACGCTAAAATCAGGGGGTTCTATTTCCCTCGGTAGACACAGCAGATAGCTCGATGTGGCTTTGCTATAAAACACACACAGGCTCCAGCATTAAAATTCTGCTCTATCAAATCGTTTTACTTTCTTTGCGGCCATTATAATCCATATCGCGACATTTTTTGATATTCGTTTTTTTTTGTCACAATCTTTAGATCTTGTTTCTAACTCTATCAATACCTTCACAATATATCCTCAATGCGCGAGTTTCCCATGCGAGACCTCTGTTGTGAATATTTAATAAGGTTTATTGTTTAAGGTAAGAGAATTGTCCATTAACACCTCTTCTTAATATCAAATATCCAATAGAAACCTAGAGTGTTTTGATCTATGATTGTTAAAACAACTAAAACATACGCCCCCAGTGGCACAACGGTATGTCTGCGGACTTGCAACGCTAGAAACCGGGTTTCGATACAAGGAGTGGGTAGAGCAAAGCACAGATAGCCCATTGTATAGCTCTGTGCTTAACTTCAAACAAACAAAGTAATTAAAACATTCTGATACAAATTTGTATATAACAATATTTTTCAAAGATTCTAAGAACACATGGCCATTACTCAAAATTTTGCATTATCTTATGCACAGTATTCTTTAAATATTGTCCATTTTTGTTGCTAGTAAACTGAGAAGTAATATTTATTGTTCCCGGGATTGTTCAATTTATCTGCGAAATGTTTGGCTAAAATACAGATTTTGGTGTATCTGATATTTTTATTCGACTTAAACCTAATCTATATTACTTTCTTACTGTTTGCTATGATATACTACAATTTAAAATTTTTGTATTTTTACACACAATCTGCCATTCGCTACGTCTGTTTTTGTGATTACCGTCATATTTTATTGGGAATATCCTTAAATAATTCTTAATTTTAGTAATTTTATTAACTACTGTTCTAAAGTGTCCGTTGTTGTTGTTGTTTTTCTAGCTATACAAGTTGAAGATGTGGAACATAAAACTCAGTTTATTATTGTCAAGCATTTTCGTCTGTGGAGTCACTATAAGAATTGTCAGTGGAATAGCTCTCCAATGTGACGAGAAAATAGATTTATGTAAAATTAACTGTTTGACTGGTAATATTGATGATGACGTTAAACTTGAATGTGCTGATCTGCCAAAAAATAACTCTCTCGTTCATATTCTTCAATTGGACTTTAAAAAACTTATTGGTTTGCAAGTCCAACACTCCGACTTGACAGATCTAAAGCATTTCGCACACACAAAACTTGAACACCTTCAATCGCTGACTTTTATAAATTCGAAATTCAACCTAAGTGTGCTGTGTGATATCACGGAATCAACTCCGTATTTAACAAATCTTACCATAATACAAGAAAATATTCAGGAGCTGAAAGCAAAATACTTCGAAAAATGTAAAGTAAACTTAACAACTTTGTTAATGAACGAAAATAAGATGAACGAAATCGAGAACGATGCTCTCGAGATTTTTTCGGAATATTTAACAAATCTTAAACTTCGTGATAATAAATTCATTCAAGTTCCACAAGCATTACAACATCTTCGTAAACTTCAGACGCTTGATCTTTCCAATAACAAAATCAAATCAGTCTCGAATCAAGATTTTCTTGCACTGAATGGTCTGAAGAGCTTGCAAAAACTAGAAATGAATGGTAAGTTTAAAACTGAGATGCCATTTTTAAAAGACTGTAAAATTAATTTATGACAAATATGAAACTTTATAATTGTAACGAATTCTGTTTTCACGATGAGAAGTTATAATTTAAATTCAAGATGTATTTCCAACTTAAGCAGTACCATGCTACTTACTATGTATATAGTTACATCTATTTATAGATTTGAAAATAAGAGATAAAAGGTTTATTTGTATAATTATTTAATATATGATTAACGTGCTGCGAGATAAATGGTTGTGCATTACGTGGGGATGAGTGTGATTCGATAGTAGTATTAATTTAATTGATAAAGAGTTTTGGACAGAAAACTTTACCACCATTGATTATAAACAATCGTGCACCTTGGTATTGTTGCGTCAGCAGAGGTCACGTGACTAGTATCACGCCACGTCGTTCTCGAACATTCACGTCCCTTCGTTAAATCTCGGGATCCTTCTAGATATAGTGTTGTCTTGTATATATAAGACCGGCCACGAAGCGACGGGGTGGTAATGAGTAATTGAATGTATGCGGACAGAATATTGTTGGCAACGTGAGACGTGAGTTATAGCGTTTGTTATAGAGCGACTGTTGAAATTAAGTGCGTCGCTAACGTTTAGTCGGATAGAATTTACGGAAAATTAACGAACGAACGGAGATGTAACAGTATTGTTCGCATAATAATAAAAACAGAGTATTGTGCAATATATCGAATCTACAAGTACCTTGTATACATATTGTTACATCTCCGTTCGTTAATTGATTTTCCGTAACTTCGTTCCCACAAAACTTTAGCGACACAAGTCCTTTCTTAATAAAACTGGTTTATTCTTTCTGAATACAACTTTACAATACCCTCAACTTCAACAGTCGCGCTATAACAAACTATAATAACGACGTTAACTTTAACAATACTTTCTGACTGCAGTTCAATTACTCATTACCTACACACACATTGTCACGTCACGCCGTGACCATCTTATATATATACCAGACTACCCTATATCTAGTAAATGCTAGGGCATTCACGAAGGAACAAGATACTTCTGGAAACGTGGCGTGACACTAGTCACGTGACCTCGCTGGCACAACACTGCCCCCTCCTTAGTATTGTTTGTCCCGAACAATAACCACATACAATAAACCAATAACAATTAACAATAACTTAATTAAATGTACAGAATTACAAACATAAAATTACAATTCAACAAAGTCTCTTAATTTTACGGGACGTATCTTCTTCCGCACTGGTCTCCGTCTCGTTGGCTTCTGCTTCATGTGGGATTCATCTGCTTCATCAGTAAATGTCCTTTCGTCAGTGACAGTCACATCAGTGGTAGTAACTTCATCAAGTACTTCACCGTTTCCCTTCTGAAAACCGAGTAGAGTTTCTTCTTCGACGGTGGC